GGGCCGTCAGTTACACTATTTACAATACCGCCTGCATTAACGGTCGAAATGCCGCCGCAGGCAGCTAACGTGCGCAGAATGTACTCTCTATCCTCAGACTTGCGGTTCAAGGAAGTGGTCTTCTGTCGGCGGACGGATTATTTGAAAGGCAGAAATCTGATGAAAGTTCGAGATGACGACCGCCTGTCATACTCGAGCGTTTCATTTGACGAGCTAACGCAATGCCGCGGTCTCTCGGCATTCAAAGTCGGCATGACGTGTTTTCACGTGCTTTGATCGGGCAAGTCCTGCCACAAATAACATATCCACATCGTAACAAAGGCCCATGACATACAAATACATCGTAAAGGTGCGTAAAGACGACGGAGAACCGCCGGTGGGTAGAAGCCAGTGAAATGGGGCGAGCGGTCGCTCGGCGGACCTAAGGACAACGCCACGAAAGAACTCAGGCGACGGTCTGAGGCATGACACCGGCCTCTTCGATGGAGCGGAGAAGCCGTTCGTGACGCTCGTCGGTCTCCAACATCTCCGCTATACGTACTGGCGTCAGAAAAGTAAAGAGAATCCTTAACAATACTCACTCCTGATCAAAGTCTGCACATCGTCGAAGAAGGTGTTCATCGAAGAGACCATTGTCTCCGATTCCTCATCGAAAGACTCTTCGAGATCTCGAACCTCAGCGTGAGTCTCTTTCAAGGACTCGTAATTGTTCTTGATGTTTGCGCGATGCTCAGCGGCCTTGAGGCGACCGTCAGCGATAGCAGCCCTTTGAGCTGCAAGGCCGCGGTTCAGGCGCAAGAGCCGCTCAAGGACACTCTTCATCGTCTCTGTGGCACAATAAGCGGCAAGACTGAGAGAGAATAGAATGAGACATGCCGGCGTCAGGACCGCCAGACGACGAAGTAGAGGTGGTGGAAGTGGACGCAGATGAAGTCGACGACGTAGACATGGCCGAGCCTGAAGAGGCATTCGAGGCGGAGGCCGACATGATGGGCAAGGCGCAGTCTCGCACCCATGGCTCTGCATATATATACCCACGCGGATCATCTTGGCAGCTGACGATCCTGATGGGGTAATGTTTCACCCACCGTCGCACAGGTCTTAGTCTGCTCCCACTCTGCGCGGGATGGCCCGTTTCATAAGGGGTAGGGCGTATGTGGCTACGAACACCTTGAGGGCTATGGCGCCGTCGTTGTGAGAACGTTTATGAGAATACAGCCTTATATCAACCCCGCTGCCGCATAAGGATTTCAAACACCGAGTGACAGATGCCGAGATCTAGACAGATCGGACCTAGAATTCCATTTGGAAGGAATGGAAACCTGGCGCATTCCATTGGTAGAAGACAAGAAGTCTGGTGCTAGCCGTATCGTCGGACATGGTCATATACACATAAGTAGCCGAAGGTAGAGCGCGAAACCGTCCTTGTACTTTCTCTTGGACCATCGTCGAACAAGAAGCAATCCGCCTTCGTCGGCGCAGAAGCGATCAGATCGCGGAACCTCGGCAAGTTCCGTAGCATATACAGTGCCAGTCGCACGCAGAAGCTCCCTTCGTGTAAGCTCTTTGTGTTACGGGAACTTTTCAAAGGGCATAGCCTATCGGTAAGCGCGGTGAGAGAGTAAACCGTGACAGTCGAGCTGGTGGTGTTGCATTAAGTAGCTATTTCTCTATTCCTGCTAGCTCTTTGACATCCACCCTCAATGTCAGCAACTTGCCTGGGCGCATTCGATGGAGCAGCGTACCGGCTCATCAGGAGTAGTGGTGGAAGACAACCCGCGACTAAATCTTCCAGTCACGCATAGGCGCTGAGCTTCGCACGTTGTCTACGCACCCAAGTAACAGGACGACGGCCCCCGCCAGCCGCCGGGAACAGTTCCAACGCCGGCGGCGGAGGCGGCGGGCCCGGCTCATCTTTCTGGCAAGATTGCCCTCAGGAGACCTCGGCAGCCGAGCGGCGAGGCGATGAAATGTATAAGAAGGGTTTCCTTCTTAATCCGTTCCAACTTCCCCAGGCGCTTAGCGCCTCACGCCCTGGTGCGCCTCGATCGTCGGTCCTCCGTCTGCATTCAGGCAGTTCTCGTCAGTCGCCGCTGCTTCGCGCATTCCCATCTCACTCGCTGGAGTCACAACCTCGCGCCAGTGTAGGCATCGTCGCGTACAAGCGGGCCCTCGACGTGCGTTGAGGGATATTGGCAGCATGTAGTCCATTCAACAAGCCATAGATGCTGTCCGACTGCCAGCCGCTCCTCCCATGGTATTCTTCGTCTTCTTCGACTTTCGGACGGACGGGGCGGCCTATTCACACGCCATCCGATGCCGCGCATGTAGATGGCCTCGCGATCCGGCCCGCGTGAGCAGGCAGAGCATGAGAATGCGTATATAAGCCCTGGCGCCGACAGCCACCCCGGCACCGGGTCGTCTTTTGCTACGATGAGCGACATTCATATGGGCACAGCTTCGGGGGCGTCGGCTGGCGCGCCGCCTTCCATTGCCGAGACGGACACCCCCTCCCTCGCCGCTCTCCTCGCTCAAGTCCCGGAAGCAGGCGTCGCTGAGTGGGTCCAAAACCTGCCCATAGGTGAGTGGCCTTTGCGCCCTGCTGATGTGGGTGCTTATCAACGCGTCGTCCATTCCTAGTAGACTTCGTTTCGTTCGCCGCCGCCGTCACCGTTCAGCTTGAGGGAATGGCGACCAATCTCGACGGTATGTCCGCAGACATGCCCGGCGTATCTGCCGACGTCGAGAGGGGCGTCGACGCGACGGCCCAACTCAAGGCTAGCCAGGAGGAGTTGAAGCAGAAGATAGACCGGCTGGTGGTGAAGGTGACGAACGCGCTCCGCTCCTACAGCGCCGCGTATGAACATGGCTTCCAGACTCTGCAACAGTTGATGAAAGGTGGAAACTTTCCCCCGCTGCACGCTCGTCTGCGCCCTTCTGACTGGTCCATCGCTTGCAGAACGGAAGGAGCAGGCCGAGAAGCAGGCCGCCAATGTCACGGAGACCATCCGGGCTACAATCGCCCACGGGGTGGCCGCGGGTATAGCCGAGCAGAACGCGCGGCAAAGTGCCGCGGCCCAGGCCGCCGTCCGCCAGGTCCTGGAGGGGCCAGAAGTTCGCCAGGCCATGGAAGCCGCTGCTCAACGGGCAGTGGATCGCGTGGTGCAGGCCGCTGGCCAGCGTTAACATTTACGCTCGTAATATTTCTTGATCGTCCGATGTTGTTCCTCACTGTTGTTCGCGCAAATGATGAAGATGTTTCTCTGCAGTGGTGCCTGAGTAATGTCCGTGGTGATGAGCACCACTCTAGCAGTGTCAGCATCGTCTTCCCAGGTGACCGACATCAGCTTGCCAGACTCTTGTTGAGAAGGGCGCCATAGGGTCTGTACTGGCGCTCACCTAACTATACATACATAGACAGAGAGACAGAAGATTCCGGGCGACTCTACATATGATGTCCGTATCCGGTCCTCGCTGCCATGGTTCCGATCACGTATACCGGCGCCAAACATGAATCGGTCATCGCCGCGGCGCCCCGGTTGGCCATCAACGCCCATCACGCTCGATTTCGGCACTGCGGAGGTCGACGCCGCCTTTCCCTCACGACCCCGGCGGCAATTTCGTTCGACAGTAAAGATCCATTTGATATCTGCATCTACATTCCAAAGCGGAGCACCCGCACGCTGCGCGGGCGTATTTGTTCGACTGGACTTCCTTTGATGGGTAAGTCTTATAGCCCAGAGATCTGAGGACTATTAATCGTGTTGGAATCTTTGCGATAATAGAACGTGTTCCTGTTTGAGCAAGGATCCCAGGCGTCACCCTACGCATATTACGATCCTGTGCAGTCTGCAGCACCGGTTTTCTCTGACGGTGACAGCCGAACTGATGGTGGCGTGTGAGACAACAAAGACGCCGATGCTGATGTACCAAACCAGGTTCACTGAGGATCTGGCGCCTTGGTGTTTCAAATTTCGAACGCACATTAGGACCCTGGGCGAGCGCTGGCGATCACTCCGCAGCAATGGCTTGGGGCAGGCGCTGCTGCCTGAACTTGGTTTGTTACAACGAGGACTGTTCTCGCTGCTCGCGTTCTACCCTCCGTCACTCTGAGACCCTTGGTGTCATGCCTTGACAGACCTATGGCGAGATCGCCGATTCCATATTGCCTTCCATCGTTTTGAGCGTCGGTGTTCGAGACACGTTGAAAGAGGCGATAGGCGACTTCGTAGCATTGGATGCAAGAGAACATCAGCAATTTTTCAGAGAACAGATGGGTCGCGTCTGGACGACGCCCATAGACTGGAAGGCCCGACCGCGCGAAGCTGAGTTTACTAGTCGGTGGTCGGTACGCGAGAACCCTTGCCGGGAATGCTCAGGCGCTGAATTGGTCTACCGCAGGCTCTCAAGAGATTTTTCAAGGAGCAAGGTTGTATACGAGGCGATGCACCTGTTCCAGATAGTGCCAGTCGGCGCAGATGGACGGCGCTCAGAGTTTGCGGAGTTGTCTATAGGGAAGGAATAGACAGAATGGTGCTTGTTGGGACGGGCATGCGACCAGGAGATAGGCGAGGGTACCTGGGACAAAGGTCGCGTTGTCGAACCGTATACTTCTGGAAATTACCTCGGCAAGACCGACGTCAACTGCTAGAGATAGCCCAGCAGTGGAATAGAACGGGCCCCCCCACGGATCAGAAGATGAAGTAATGTACCGCGCCATTGCCATTGAAAGCCAGGGCTAAATTTGTCTTTGCCGGCCCCTCTAGAAACTTGACGCGTCGGTTTCGCTCGTTCATCCGCCAAGTACACGTCACAGCCCTCCGAGACTTCGGGCAACATCTCGTCACTATGACTGTACCGGAAGTCGGGATGTTCAACCCGCCAAGGGTGTGAGTCAGGCCCGGCGGTTTTGGATCTTGCCTCTGGTAGACGTGTTCTCATTGCCATCTAGATATGAGTTTTTTCAAGAGTTTGGACTCCTCAAGCAGCCTCTCGTCAAGGAAGTGGATATGACTGAGACATTGAAATCTCTTTTTGGTACAGTGAACCGTGCGACAGGTAATCTATCCTCTTGCATTCGAAGTTGCTCCTATTCCAACCTGTTCCCCCTCAGGACAACTGGACGAGGAGGCATATCCCGCGATGCTACAGGCGAAGTCAAGGCTGAAGCGCAAGATCACGTATCGCATCATCCCTCAGGAGCATTTCATGGGCCGCGACGAGCTCTTGCTTGACGTTGCTGCTTGGGACGAAGAGGTCTTTTATGCCGAAGCAATCCCAATGGTTTATAGGATCGTGACAACTGCGCACGGTGAGCAGCGCCGCAATCTGCGTTCTCATGCTTGCTGATCTCCCGATAGCTAACATCTCGAGGTATCGCGATCTTGATCCTGTCTGGACCGACTGGAACGAGATGGTGGAAGGCAAGTATCAGTTAGAAGGCATCCCGATGCGACTTCCCACCGCTCTGGGAAGGGATAACTGCTTCAAATACCTGAGGCATTGGTTTGACTTGGGCAGTCTGAAGTTTCTGAAATGGCGTCGGAAGAACGGGCTGATGATGGCGCCTGTGGAACTCGAAGAACGTTGGTGGATCGACTCTTACCGCACCCCTGGTCCGGATGGTGCCGCAATGCCCGACGCCGAGATACCTCCTACCGCTCAAGAGACCATGAACCATGTTCCTGATACCCCAGCTGTCGAGATTGGCTCTTTGGCTCTCTCGCCCTATGGAAGTAAGGGCGCGCTCATCCACCGTGTACATCAAGAGGCACTTTGGGATGAGGACTTGATCGAGTGGATTGACATCCGGCCTGTATCTGATCCCGACGACCGGCTGCCGCAGACACTGGTTCCTCCCGGTGCCGATGAGGAGGGCGCCTGGGTGCCTCCTTGCGCAGTGCCGTCTAATCCTGAAGCTATGGCCCAGTGGTCTTTGCATACTCTCCAAACGTTGCCGGCGTCGCTCAGGAGATTCACCCGCCACTTGCGGGGTGGAATCTGCCAGTTGGCTGAACTTCCAGTACGCACACTTCCATGTCATACATGATTGCAGAGCTCAATCGCGCCCTCCCTAGCTTGTTCCGAATACGTTTTTCTCGTTGAGGGCCGCTTCAAAGTACATCGCCATTCCTGACCATCTGCGGTGGACCATTCCTAATGCTTCGTCGCTCACGAGGGAGAACCTCGATGCATGGCGTGTCTTTCTTATGCTCCGCCCTTGGAGCTTTGAGCATGGGGGGCAAGTGCGATTTTCTGGCCTGGATACAGCTTGGGTATTTGTATTAGGCTCCGTGCTCTTTCTGCAGGCTTCGGGTTGGGGGGCATTAACAGAGTCTGCTCTTTCCACTTCGCCTGGTACGGCCGACTATAGGTCGCTAGACGTCATTTTTCAAGCTTTTGAGGAGAGTATGGACGACCTGGCAAGAGAGTACGAATATCCTGGATGCCCGCCTTCCATGAAGTACGGTCTTGCCAGCACACGCGCACATTACCTGGCATATTTGGTCCGCAACGAGGACGCATTGATCTATCTATTACGTTGTGTAACTAGAATGGTGAGTCTACCTACACTACTTGTTGACATTCGCGCTCATGACGATAGGATGACGGCCCCTTTGATTCATCCGCTGTAACAATACCGTCCAGGGTCAAGGATGAGACCTGGATTACACGCACGAACGGTGTGCCGTCGTGGCATTGGCCTCGTTGCGGATTGCCGAACGGTGCTCATATGGATCCCAATCTCCACATTCAGATTCTGTCGTGGCTCGAGCGCGACGACATTTTTATAGATCAATCTACCGGCCAGCCTCGTTCAAGGGAAACAGGCCTAGCAGTGATGCTTAAGGCGGCTTTGATCTTGGCGGATGTGGAGCATGTACTCGACGGTAATTTTGAGCAGCGTGGAGCCGAGCAACTCAGCGACTCAACAATCCTGGACAAAGCGGAGAGCGTTCGTGTGGACCTGGGTAGTTGGGCGGAGAGACACGCCGAAAGACTGGACCCCCTACTCAAGTTGCGCAACGACGAGGGCCTAGACATAGAGGATGACGACGGCGCGCTGGATCATGGGGCCATGCCTGACGCTCTTCACCTTCGCGAGGGATCGAGAACTTCGAGGCGTGGATCCGAGACACCTCCTGCCAGCAGCTTGGCGCAGCCCTTTGCAGGGCTGGATGTGGCCGACGTTGAACGCGGAGGCGTCGGAGACTTCAGGGCATTCCTTGCCGCGGAACCGCTGTCGGCAGCACAGGTCTATTCTAAGCGAGGATTGGAGAATATCGCCAACGAGCCGGTTCGTCGCGAAGCCAATCGGCTTGCTCGTCAGGCAGGCAGGAAGTCGAAAGAAACGAAGGGAGCCACGCGGACCCCTGCATCCCAGCGGCAAAGACCTGCTGCCTACCTACTCAGCGATGGGGAGTCTGAGTTCGAAACCGCTGGCCAGGAAGACCGACAGGATGCTACTGCTGCGCGTCGGAAGCGGGAGCATCCTCGAGCAAAACGTGTCACCCGCGCAAGCACCTCGAAGACAGGACTTTTGCAGACTTCCGACCGACCAGGCGCCGGGCCATCTAAACGGCGAAAGGGCGTGCAGGGTCCTAAGACGAAGAAGAAAGACGCGCGAGGCGCCGGTACATCGACGGAAGCTCTCGCATCGCCCCGGCATGCAAGCGGAAGTGCCGCCGCTGGCCCTGCTAAACGGAAGCGATCATTTATCTCGGCCGGGGCAAGTCGAAAAAGACGGCGAATGTCCGACAAATCCCGCCTAGAAGATGAAAGCAGCGCTCGGGTTCCTTCTCGTAGCGTGGATTCCCGCTCGTCAGGAAGTGATTCTGAACTTCCTCGGCGCCTGACACGCTCGGCACCAGCGCCGGTATTTCCGTCGGCTCTTCCTGCGGTCTTTGATGCCGAGGGCTCTAGCGGAAGCGGCATTGACAGCGAAGAGTTGAGGTCGGCGACTTCAGCTCGACCCTCATCTCGCCGAAGAGTCTTGTCGTTTGTGTCAGCTCGGGCCCGACAAGCCGTTCGGTTTTTATCTGTATCCAGCTCTGACGATCCAACCGCCGCGCTCGGTTGAGCCTCACCTGAAACCCATTCGCACGCCCCCCCAACGCCGCCGGCGCCGCTAACAAAGCCTCGGCCTCGACGGATTATACGAAAGAAAGTGCCTTTTGAACTCTCCTGATCAGCCCGAAGATGGTGGCCCTTCGGCCTTGCATGCGTGCTGCATCTCCTCCTGCGGTACGACCGGCGGCTCCTTGCTCTTGCAAACTAGGACCGCGGCGGCGACGGGGCGCTCGGAAGAAAGTGCCGAGGTAGTCCTGGTTAGAGCGATGTAAATAATAGTTCGATTCATGGAGCAATAAACTAAGGGAGCTGCAAACTTTTTACTACTCATGTAAGCCCAGATCCCTCCAATGGCATCTAATTACGCAAGGGTTGACAACGGCGCGGCCCCATACCATCGAATCGCCTTGTACTTGCAGCGTCTTTTCGGCAAGATGCCGCCCTTCACCTTGATCTAGCCACCCTATCAGCCCATCATACTCCGCGTTGAGTCATACCGAGTTCAGGACCACTTCAGTCAAGCGTCCCGTAGGCACACTGCCTGACACCGCGGTTAAAGCAGTGTCCAGACCAGCCACAGCAAAATCGGCTTGTAAGCATCTCAGAATGGGCATCTTCTGGAGTATCTGCTGCCACATGTTGCCTTCCAGAGGGACTCTGACTCCCCGGAAGAAGGTGACGGCGCTGAATGGATCCCATGATAGGATCCTCCCGACGATGGAAGGCAATTCAGGCCAAGTAGGGGACGCAGGGGTCGGCCTGAGAGACAGGAGGAAGTGTCTTCGCTCGCCTTGCCCGCCGAAACGCGCGGAGAGTTCAATGGATACGCCGACAAGGTCGTCATGATCCCCGAAAACCATGTGACACCCCTGCGGGCTTGCATCGGCATCGATGCCTTGGAACGCTTTGGTAAGGCGACTGGAAAATGCTCTATCGAGGGCATCCGGTACGTATGATGCGGGTAATTGGTTTGACCTCGGCGTCGCCATCCTCATGCTCACAGCACAACAGTCTGGCACTTCCAAGCCAGACGCTATGAAGATGACGCGCTCAAACGCAGCGTCCAACTCCAGCTGCAGTAGGTGGGGCAGGTGAACACCTGGTTCCGGGCGCGTGACGGTCGTTTCCTCTATGCCTACGCCCTCCTCTCCAAAGGTGTCAATCAACGCCAACGAGGTCAAGGTCGGCAGACTGTTGATGAGGCGGATGAAATCAACAAGGCCGCAGTGTAGATCGCAGCGTTCGAGGCGAAGATGCGTCAACGGAACTTGGAAGACGTGAAATGGATCTCGAAGGCTGCAGTCTCGGAGAGCTAGCTTCCGCCACGACGCAGGAGGTTCACAAAAGAATGAATCCTTGCTGAAGAGCGCATCAAACCAGTAGTTGGAAAACTCGAAAGTTTCCAGGGCCGTCCAGTCCCCATATAGGAAAGGTAAGTGCCAGGGTGGTATGATGTCCATATTATCCTCGGACTCATCAAAACCCGTATAATCAACCCTGATGGTTTGGACCCGATGATGATGGGGCTCAAGAATAGCCATGCCGTGACGCCAATCCGCTAAGGCACCACTGGGAGGGCCCAGATCCAGCGTTAACAGATGAGCTCCTGACCGTTCTACTGCAATGGATGTGAGAGGGAAGTTGTAGATATCGGTTATATGCGCCCATATTTCGCCTGCAGCTCTGCAGATCGCGTAGAGACGTCGACAGATCCCTTGCCAAAGAAACGCTACTGGTTTTTGAACGCGAGGCGACTCGATGGAACGATGGTCATGGATGACGATGAGCATAAGAAGCTCATTCGGTAGATCCAGTAGACCTATGCGGACGGCCTTGAGAATGACATCAGCCATGCAGAAGGACGCGCGAGAAAATGTCTTCTGACGTACTACTGTGTCGCTTGATTTCTGTGAAATCGCTGGGTCATTCGAGCTTAACGACCCAACCGCCTGGCCGTCTATGGCGCTTGAAGCACCGGCGGGCATTTAGGACTTTGGCAAGCTAGACACAGGTGGTGGGAGAAGTAGATCCTGATGGCGGTCGGGGCAACGCCTTTTGTCTGAGAAGTGGCAGCTCTCGGCGTTTGCCTATCGGATTCTGCGCTGCTGCCGAGATCACCGGCATGGGCGCGTTGTGGCAGGAAATGCGGCGCAGTCGGATCATCCTGACAGGCGGTTATGACCTAGCGATCTTACCTCGGAATGGCCCCGGCACTACTATGTCGTATTATAAAGCGCATGTCCCTCCGGCGGGCAGAGAGGTTCAAGAAGCAGAGACGCCGAATGTGTGTTTTCTATAAGCTTACGAGGGACAGCATATTGTAACTGAGTTCAAGGTACTATGAACGTACAGTACACGAATGAACACAGACGAGTGCGGTAGAGAAAGTCAGAGAGACTACAGGTTGGCTAGCGGGGCTAGCCCTGACGAGGTGCCCTGGGTTGTCAACGTCGAGGCCAGACGGGGCGAATGATAGCGGGGTGAGAACTGGCAAGGCCGAGGCGGGAATGATGAGCGGAGCAGGTGGGGATGGTGGGACGGAACCAGGAACATATGAGGACACCAGATTCCCCTTCCTCAAGGTCGACGGCGCTTTGTTCTGTTGCCTACCACGACTAGTAGGGGGGGGGCAGAAGGGTCGGTTGTTGGCAATTCCTCCACGGCCGAGGCCGTGACCACCAAGTAATCCCACTCCTTCTCATAAGCATCGAGATTATGTATCATCCGTTGTATTTCCCGAATCTGTGCTTCCAAAGCGGATCTGACTCCGAGAAGAGCGGCGCGATGTTCGGAAGTGGGTAGGGCTCGCCCGTAGTGGTCATGGGCAATAAGTACAGCATCCTGACTGCACGAGGCATCGAATACGGGACGGAGTTCGGATTGCCATCGAATGCGACGATTTGTCTCCGCTGAACATGTGGTGCCAGCAGCGTCCTCATTAGAATTGGCTAGATCCATATCAGTGTGTGTACGCGCGTATTGCGAAGCTGGGAAACACACCCTCAAGCTTCTCCTCGTCCGCATCGTTGCGTCTCGGCTTAGCCCGAGCATCCGCGGTCTCGTTCGCATGTGCCGGCGATGCCTGAGCGGGGCCGAGGCTGGTGGCAACGCGGGATGTAGATGCAGAAGTGGACTGAGACATATTAGAGAAAGCCTTCGAGTGCATAGCTTACAGGAGTCCTTGTTGAGTTCGTCTAAACACGACCAGGGCACCCGAGAGAGAAAGACGAAGATAGGGGTGAAAGCGCGCGCCGGTCCAACTGTATATTTACGCTTATTTGGCTATGCTCGAAGAGTCAGCCGGCGCCTAAGACGGACGTCGACGGCACTTAGAGCCGGGCCCATCTTCGATCAGGCGGATCTAGATGATGCAGATCTGATCTAGACTCCTTACACCGTGCCTAGCCCTACGGAGTTAGAACCTCACCAATCGGACGATTGCCGAAGAAACATTTCACGCAGCGCAGCTGTCGGCTTTCGGCGGTAGCATCCCACGCCAACTGCCGGCGATCTAAGGAAATCGGCGGAGATTGCCGAAATCACACTCTCCACCTGGTCTAAAAGTATTTTGACACGTCTGATTTGGATGACGACCCCCATGTCACTGACAACAGTCCCCCTAGAACTATGGCAGAACATCGCTCTTCAAGTTGTGGCAGATGTCATTTCAGCTCGAGAGATCCGTTTCGGGGCCTTAGCCTTGCCCGACAGTCTCTTGGCGCCTCTCGAGCATGATGCTTTTCGCTATCCCGGAACTTTCGAGGACTCGACTCAGCAAATTGCAAAACGGCCCCGTGGATCCCACACCGACGCTTGCGTCTGGGTGAATACTTCCGGCCACACGCCGAGCCAGGCTCAGTGGTACAGGAAAAGCACAGATCCTTCACCAGCATCTGCGGTCGCTTCCTTGCTTGCCATCGATCGCCGTCGGCGATACGCCTTGCACGATCTGCCCGAATTCTGGCAGGGTGTCGCGCTCTTGATTCCCGCTGCGACGTCGCATGCTTTGAAATGCACAGACCGGCGACCTGGCCTTTCTATGGACCTTACGTCCCACCTCCTTCTATGCTCTTGCATACTACACACATTGAAGCCGCGTCTCTCCAAGGTGACTCGCATTGACGTCGCCTTTTCTGGTGAATTCTCGGGCGTCTCCGATCCGTCCCGGCTCCTGGGAGAATGGCTGGGTTCTCTTCCCGATAGCAGCCTGGAACATCTTGAGCATCGCTACGCCCTCAGCGACCAGCTAGACTGGTCTAGCATGCTGTACCGCGAGCGGCGGCACTTGCAGACGCAGGTGGCAGTCAACCCTCGAACCATCTTGTGGGGCATCGACCTCCGCAGGTTAAACCTGGCGGTGGAGAGAAGGGATCGTGCTGTGCCAGCCGACAAGCTAGTTCTCCTCCTTAGTCGCTGTCCATCACTGGAGGAGCTCGCGCTCCAGATGGTATTGGCTCCCTCGGACAGCATGCCTTCCGTGGCGTTACCGGTCTCTCTTCCCCGCCTCCGCTATTTCCTTCTCTGCGGAAAATTAGAGGACTGGAGGTACTTGCGGCCGAAACTTTCCATCCCGGAAACCGCTTCAATTCACCCCGACCTGATCCTGCCGGAACTGGACTTATTCCTGGGGTCTGTCGAGCGTCTTGCCTCAGAGGCGGCCCTCAGTTGCTTGAGTGGCGCGGGATTTCCGTCTTGTCGCTTTGTAGTCCTGCACTACCAGATGAAGACGCCGACGGACAGGCCCCCCAATGACGAATCACCTGAGCTGGTGACTCTCACATTTGCCGCCACGGACGACGCGGCCCGGGCGGAGAAGAACCCTGAGCAGACGTCTCATAGATGGTCATTCACCATTCGGTTCCCTGGGCCGGTGCTCCAAACGCGTTACCCGCCAGAGCCAGGAGCCGACCTCCGTAGCGTCGGGCGCATCTTAAGCCACGAGCTTGCAGTGAGCTCAATATGCGAGGGCATCAAGACGTTGGTCGACCAGGCGCCGGCCGTTGACCTCAATGCCACCGAGGTCTTCATCGTCAAAGCCGGCGGAAGGCTGCGGCACATGGTCGACCTCTATCACCTCACACGCCACTTTCCCAACCTGAAGATCCTCGTCCTGTATGGTGTCTTCAACAGAGATAGTTATGCTCTGAAGAACGTCATACGAGAGCTCAGAGATGGAACTTGGAGAAACATAGATCGCGTTTGTCTGCCGGACTACGAGGGCTCAGGATGGTATATGGACGGGTTTGTGGGGCAAGACGGACGCGAAGTTCGGTTTTCCACTTCGTGCGCAAGCGATGACGGTGCGTGCAACCAAAATCTTAGCCCGCTCTTGGTTGACCTTTATGGTTTGCCGCACTCATAGGTTTATCGCATTCTGACGGCGTGATTTGAGATATCTTACATAAGCGTTGTTGAGGAGTAGTTAGACAGACGAACGATGGTGTGACATCCCGTTTTCGGCTGTGCGCTCAGAACACGTCGCGGCCAGCGAATGGGATCACACGTGACCGCGCCTGGCTCGCCTCTCGATATATGCGCTCCTATACGCGTAGTCCTCCCTCCGCGGTCTCGGTAGACGCGTACGATATTGCGTCAAGGCCTTATCCCTTTGGCTTACGAAGCGCGTCCCGAACGGCCGCGGCCTTCGACTGCTATTCACCGATCACGCCTTCAAGACCTTAACTCCCCTCCATCGTACCCCTAGCGTCCTACTCCTGGGACGTACCGGCGCTCCGTATACCACCTGATAGGCCCCTGAGGCGTATCTTCGAGATACATGGCGGTTCTCCGGGTCTCCTAGCGTACGCATTACGGTACTGTGTCTTATTTTCTGAGATATGTTCTCTTTTCTGTTTCCTTTCGGTTTCTCTTACTGTACTATACTTCCTATTCGTTCGATCTCTTCCTCGCCTGTACATCATACGTTTCGTCATCTCTATATCTACGACGCTCAGCATTTTGCTGTTCTACTACATATATTGTACACTAGCTTGCAATCTACTCCAGGTTCCCCCCTGGTTTCCTCCCCTCAGTCGGGAGCTCTCGCTCCGGTTTCATCGTAGCGCCCTCGCACTTGCCGCGTTTGTGGTTGGTTGTTGTTGGTGTTGCTCGCCTTCAGTGCCAGTCATACGCATCAGGTGACGGGGTAGATACTGCCCGTCATACTCACTGCCAAGCGTATACTTATATAGCAAAGCTAACTCTGTGGCAGCCAACTCAGGCCGGGAGAGGCGTCACCAGGAAACGACGATGCTCCTATCGCCGGCCAGCGGTGCGCCATCCGGCTTCCCAAGATCAATCCCCACACTATTAAAGAAAAAATCATATCAACGGCTGCCATCGGTGCTTCCAGCGGTCATAATCGCCGAAGATGATGGAGCCTAACTCACGTGACCGTACAGCATCAAATGCGATTCCAAATCACCCTTGTCCTAATTAACATCGCATGCGATACTAACACTAGCACGTGTGAGAGCATAATTCATTCGACAGTATTTTACAAGACAAATTGTAGTAGTAGTACGGAAGATCAGGGCGCGCGGTCGACAAAGAGATATTCGTGGGGTCGCTCGTCGTCAGCGAGATCTGGCTCGGGACCTTCGCCGATCAGCAGGACGGACTGCTCGTCCAGGTCCATCCTGTCGTTGAACTCCTCCTCGGTAATCCCGGCTAAAGACGTTGAGTCGACTGCGAACGAAGACCTATCGGACCTTGCGTACCTAGCACCAGGTCCGGTTGGACGTACTCGGTGTGGTTCACTGCAATCCACGTCTTGTTGTTTTTGACGCCGTCAAGCCTTGCGCTGACCCTATGACATATAAAGGGCATGAGCGGCATTGGCGAGAGCGGAGAGGAAAGGCAAGCGCGGACTCGTCGGCGTTAAGAACCTTGTTCATGGCAATATACGCCCGAAGTTGCTGCGCTGTCCACAGCTGAACGACGAGAACCTGTATCGGAGTGAGCTGACAGGTCGGTGACGAAGGTATATCGCTGCGCACCTGCATCCGGTTCGTAACTCTGCCATCCACCACTTCATAGCCCTTCTCCACGAAAATTGCGTGTTGATCGTACGTGCGAAGGGCGACGCTGTGATCAACGATGCGTTAGCCGTGGACACGACGATGGCGAAGGCGGATGGTGACGGACCATCGGCCCGGTCTGATGCGGCGCTCTAAAGCAGATTCGCCGTTTGCGTCCTTCCTTCGCGTGAGGACAAGATCGCTGCTGGGCGGGCTATCATCTCGTGAGCCAAAGGCAGCACAAGAAAAAAATAACTACGTACAAAAATTCAGACAACGCTTTGTCGTCGTAGAACGAGCGCAGAGTGCGCGCCGACATGTTGAAAGAGAGGCTGGAGAAGGGGCGTGAGGGAAGGGGGCGTGAAGGACGGAGGCGACTTGAGGGATTAAAAGCCAGACGCCTCGGTTCTCGGCATAAATAGCCGTGGTGCCAGGGCATCAGCGCCGGCCGGTGGTTGACGCCTCTAGGCCGAGATAATCAAACACGTGTCAACCGCCGAACAGTGCCAAGGCGTCCGCCAAGCTGGAGCAGCCGTGCTCGGGCGATTATCGCCTTACCTCCTCCTCCCTCACCTCAACCGGCGACGCAGTGCCTCACCTGCTGGGCGACGACGCTTGGCGCCTCCTCGACGCCGGCCGGCGTCGAAGGCGGCGGTGGTTCGGTGAGTCGGCAGTGGTTCGGTGAGTCGGCGGGCGCTTTAGTAATGCACGCTGCGGCGCTGATCCCCCCATCAGTGGTTTGCCGATGCACGAGGCTGACTTCCGCTGCTATAAGCGGCTAACGGGGGCGCCTCGGCGCTTCCTGTCCGCTGCCCCTCCCGTGCCGCGCCTGCTTTCCCTCCGCAATTCTGAGCGCCTTCGATCCCCTCTCGCGCGCCATGCCCCCCGTCACTCGCTCCTCCATTCGCACGAAGCCCGTCACTCGGTCGGCCGCCCACGCCATGCTTGTCAACATGCGGCGCCGAGCTGCTGTGACTTCTCGCTCATCGGGCACGCGGACCGCAGTGACAGACGAAGATATGGATTTGGTCGCGGCATTCAGGAAGGAAGTGGGCTTCAAACCCTGGGTTAGGTGGGCGTCTCTGCTGGACAAAGTGCCGGTGCGTATCTTATTATGGTCGATTCAGTTCGTATAGCTGACTGGCACATCACGATAGCATCACCGCGACCGGCCGACATACTGGCGGTACGTCGATAGGTATCATAGGCATGGTGCGTGAGATTATCCCGTCGACTTTCAGACAGCTTGCTCACTACTTTGACTTACCCAGATATCCTAGCCCGCGTCGACGCACTCAAGCGCAAAGCCGGCGCGCACACTGCCCTTCCGTCAAGACGTCGTACCGCGCGCTCCTCTCGCTCCGGCCGTGCGCCGACCCGCCGTACCACGAGCTGTTCGCGCTCGACCGCTCCCAAGCGCGCCGCCCGCAGCGCTCGCGCCATCGCCCACCCTCTCCCCACTGCCGATAAGGCCGCAACCCAGCGGTTGGAACGCGCCGCTCGGAGCGAAGTCCGCAATGCCCGGCGCAACGCCGCAGCTCTCGATCTTCAGCAAGGTCGCGACGATGCCGGTCTCAGCCCAGACCCCACACCACCGCCGTCTCCCCGCTCCCTCAGCGTTGAGCTACTAGATGCGCCCGACGTTAAGCCCCTTTGGTTTCCCGACGATCAGCGCCACCTTCAGGTATTCGACGGGATCGAAGAGGAAATCGAGGCGTACTTGAAGATACAGGCGGCTGAGCACTTCCGGTTAAACGCTGATAGTTAGCAATGTAACAACATATATAGAATATGTCACACGGTTGCCATTCACTTAATTTTGATTTTTTACTATCTGCTACTATGCTACGATGTTAGAGAGTCACAGTACTGGGCCTGCTAAAGAGGTGAGAATCTTGAATGAACACCGTGAGAAGGTTTGTGGCACCACCCAAGCACCCAGGACAAGCGCCGAGCGCCGCAAGCCTCGCTTTGAGGATTCTAGGCATCCTGATGAGGTTCCTCAAGCTCAGGAAGTGCAGTCCCAGCCGGGCTCAAGTCCAGAAGGGTCTGGAACTAATGCGCGAAGGCCGCGAAAAAACATTTATATTGCAGTTCCAGGCCCGGTTGGTGATGACGCGTCTTTATTCATCATTCACGGGCATAACGATGCCGTTTGTAACTGCTGATCACGACCTATCTCTGCTAAGGTATGTGATCTGCAGCTCAATATCCTTATCGACCTATCCAGATCATCCTGCGTCTGTACGCGTCTCCTGCTGAAGTCCTTGCGGGATTTGACGTAGACTGCTGTGCCGTCGCGTATACACCTGGCAAGGTCTTGGTGTCTCCGCGTGCCTTAGCTGCACACATCCGCCAGGCGAACCTCGCTGACCCTGCACGGAGGAGTCCCAGCTACGAAGTGCGTCTGGCGAAGTACGCAGCTCGCGGTTTCGAGATCCATGTACCTGGTCTTCGCCGCGGGGACATCGACCCCCAGATCTTCGAACGAAGCATCAGTACCCCCGTGAATCTCTTTTACCACATTCCCAGGCTGACACAGACCCAGGTAGAGTCCAGGGCCTTGCGCTCCTCCTTGTTCTCGAGAAGTTGCGCGACGCGCCTTCTCGCGCAGGATACGTCGGCATGCGCGCCGAGCTACGAGGTCGCCCTGGCAACAACACGTCAAGGTATAGTATGGATGACGGCGGTCACTACAAGAACGATTATAAGTCCAAAGGTATGTGTGCATTGAGAGTACTAGATGGTCAATGCTCAAAAGAACGTCATAGGTCCATTCGCTGACCTCGACATTGAGCTGAGTGGCTACGACCGCGGCGCATTACGGATACCGTATGGGCCCACCTGGCATGCAGCGAGGATTGAGAAGTTGATTTGGAAAACAGACATGGGCATGAACTGTATGTGGTATTTCATTGAAACGAACGCAGATACTGAATCGTATACGCACAGCTCCGTTTAATCCGCGCAACAAGAACCGCCGGCTCCATCGACACCCGGCGTTCTTCGGAACCGTGCAGGAGAGCATGGATGATTGTTGCCGCACATGCCCCGTGCCCGAGAACGCCGAGGAAGAGAAGCAGCAGAAGGACGAAGACGAGAGGGGCTCGTACGTTCGCGGCCGAATCTCGTGCGTATACCTCTCTCTTGTACTTTATCGTGTCGCGATGACCAATATACCCCCCATTATAGATTCATCAAAGACGATCCAGGCCGTTGCTAGGGCCGCACTTAGGGGATATCTCCGAGCCGCGCTACTGGCACTCAGGCAGACGGCAGACAGACACCAAGCGCAGGAACCCAGTGACAACACGAGGGTATGCGATGG